TTTTTTTTTCAAGCAGTAACTATAAATTTAAGATAATAACGTAATAGTATGCTAGGGAATTTATGTTCAATCATGTGGTTTTCATGTCCAACTTAATATTATGTGCAAATGCGTAGAAACGTCAAGAAGTTAATACTCCTTGAATACTAGAACAGAATACTAGTGCTAGGTGTAATATTTAAAGCAAAAATATCGTAAAAGTGGGTCCTCTTTAAAGCACTCGAAATCGACAAGCATGCATGAAAAGGTTGATGAATGTACATAGATGAAGCTAAAGAGGTATGCCACAATCGTTCAATGGATATAATGAACATAACATAACATCCGTCGTAACGTCATTTATACCTGAAGGGGTAGTGCACATGACGGTACTTTATGCCACTGTACAATGTAACACCGACTTTTCAATATATATGTTATGAGTCCCATATAATAAGGAGTGAGCCTATTGTCATATACTAGGCACAATTCCAGGCTCTGTACTACTACTGAGAATTTCTTTAAAAAATACTTTGCCCAACCCGGGAATATCGAACCTGAGATCCCTTGCACTTGCGGACACTCGGCCAACGAGGCGGTTGCTTAAGTTTAGATTAAGACTTTTTATTAAAAGCCCTACTCTTAAGGATGTATCAACTACACGAATGTTAATGATACGATTGTTAGTAGGTATGTGACGCACACAATTATGTCCGAACTGCTGAGCTGATTATCATGTAAATCTGTTTTAATCAGCCACGTGATAACTTTCATTAATTTTCCACGCCAGCTTATAGTTTGATAACAGATACATAATTATAAAATGGAGATAAATAATGTCATATTACAACAGCTGACCTGATAATCGTCATTCATATTTTATGCCTGTAAACTTTTACATGATTTAAAAAAAAACCTGTTTTCATTATTCCTTTTGTCACTATAAAGTTATAAGGTCGACACAACGCTGTGTCTTCCCATTCAGATGTCTTGGGATCAGACACTCTGTTGTCTAAAAAAGCTGAACCCCTTGACACACAATGACGTAGCTACAATACAACTAAATTATAATATCATTACTTTTACATTTAGGGTCGATTTTTAATGAACATACAATTCTTAATTGGGTACTTGAAAACAACAAATTCAATACTTTTTTCGAACTGTCAAAAACGACAGTTTTCTATGAATTTTGTACGAGATTGTGTATAATTATTACTTTAAAATTTGCTGGACAAATACTAAAATGAAGTTGGTCATAGAATCAATTAATGAGAGTGTGATATTTTTTTACTATGTTATTGTATTGAACAGTTGAAATAATTTATTTTTGATTACGGAAAGCAGTGCCGGATTAAGCCAGCGCGGGGCCTGTAGCAAATTCTGTCTAGGGGCCCTTGGTTTGCTATCGGTTCTCATTTGGGCATTGACTAAATTTGGTGCCTTTCTTTTTTCTGGCGTCAGTCGATGATTTATGGAAGATATTGTCTGGAATGATATCACAAACGAAATTGTCCCCATATACATATATGAAAGTGAGCCCATAGGGCTCATGTATGGAAATCTCAGTCTGGACTGAGTTATGAGCGTTGAAAGGAGCTGAAGTCAAACATTTTACTTTGGTTTTTTTTATTCAAATCTTATATCTTATACCATTATCTTATATACTATTATATAAAGCGGAAGAGTTTGTTTGTTTGTTTGTTTGAATAACTAATCTAATCTCCGTAACTACAAGTCTGATTTGAATAATTCTTTTTGTGTTGGATAGTGCATTTATCGAGGATGGCTATACGCTATAAAACATCACGCTACGACCAATAGGAGCCGAGCAGAGCGTGTGAAACCGCGCGGAAGTAGCTAGTTATTCATATTTTTGTCACAATTCCCAACTTTAAATTGCGTGCAACTGTACGTCGGGCGCAGGAATACCATATCACACCACAATATATTCATATTGCCAGGCACTAATTTTTATTACCTATTTTCTCTCAGTCGATAACTTGTGGGATGCTTCTAGGAGTTGTGTCATGAAGCTTCATGAGCGTCAGCTATGTTACCAGTGGTGGGTTGAGCGGTGGTAGCCGTGCGAACATCTAATAAAGTGTATTTTGTTTTGCCATTGACTCCTGGTGGGAGACTCATCTACTTTATAGTTCGCATAATCTTTTGTAGAAAGGAAACCGTCGACTTTGTAAAGTGATATACGTCAGATGAGCGTATATTTTTTTTTTTATATAATGTGATCAGTCGAAATATAGTCCATCACTTTGTGACTGAATGACGATATCTTTGTACAGAATCTTATGCTAGCTCTAGATTAGAGTATTAACTGTAGTTAAATTAGTGACTAATCGGGAGTAGGTCGGGAGAAGTAGACAGAAAAAAAATTTTTTCGTGTTTCGACGATTGCCACTACTCAATGCGCTACCGACGCCGCAGCTGACAAACATAGCATTTCGTGATAGGGCTCAGTAAAGTATTTTGCGGGTTTTCGACTGAGAGGGTATTGAAACTTACATGAAAATCTGTCATAGGCCATAAACCGTATACATAGGTATAAAGTGAACACGCTAGCCAAGCAATCGAAATGTTTTTTTTTTCTTGAGCAGTGGCCAGTTAAAGACTCTGTTTTGATTCCCTTGCGAGTACTTGCGAGTTTCAAAATATGCAGCTTAAATTGCTGTTTCTTTAGATTGCGTTGACATAGAAGTTTGATTTTGTTACAGCTTAAAGGTATTATAGACCTGAGTATTTGGTATGAATTTCAATTTAATACCTCTACGCGTTTATGAGGAAATGGGTAGTAAGTTTAAAATTATTAAAAAAATATATATTATGTGATGTAACTAAAAATTTATGGTTTTCGTAATTTTTCCTTTATCTATGCTATAAGACGTTGCTTCGTACCAAATTTCAAGATTCTGAGTTCACGGGAAGCACCCTGTAGGTTTTGATTCCCTTGCAAGTGTCGAAAATTTGCGGCATAAACGGCTGTATCTTTTGATTGCGTTGGCTTAGAAGTTTGATTTTTTCACAGCTTCAAGGGACAGTAGACCTGAGTAATTGATATAAATTGATATAAGCTTCATACCTCCACGCGTTCCTGAGAAAAAGAGTCTTGACAGACGGACGGACGGACGGACAGACGGACAACAAAGTGATCCTATAAGGGTTCCGTTTTTTCCATTTGAGGTACGGAACCCTAAAAAGAAGTCCACTATAAGCTTTACTATATTCCTTGAAATCGTTTATAAACATTTATTACAAAATATTTCTGACAAGTAAATGAAGAAATATGCGTTGTGTACGGTCACCATCAACAAAATAACAGGAATAATATAGCACTATTTTCACATCTTTGAACTGATTTAACTCGGTTTGGACTGTGTTTTTGATATAAGACCCCATATATTTTTTTGTTTGTAATGTTATTCTGCATCAGTTTTTACACATCCAATAAACTGCCGCGAAAAATAAAAAGGCACCACGCTCCATACAAATTTGGTCATTGTCATTTAGGGTATTATTACATAAAACAAAACTGTTACAAATAAACTTTTCTGGATTTGTTATGGGCAAATTTAGCGATTACACTTTCAATATCGACTTCTTTAAGCAAGTCATGCTCTATATTCAACATTGTGAAATGATTAAGACGTCCTTGGCCCATAGTGTTCCTTAATTAATTCATTTTTGATTCGTTCAAATCGGGCTCGGTTCGCCCGCCAATGGCACCAACCAAGCGAACAAATAGTCACTTTCCTTTTCTTACACATACAAAATACCGACTATTTGTCTTTTTTCGTTAATTTCGTTAAGAACAAAAATTAAATTACATGTAGGTTGGTAGTAGTTTTGTAAACAAAACATTTTCTTCATAAGTCTTGCTGTTGAAGCGGTGTTATTACGAAATACCTATTTGAGCGCGGGGCCCCCCAATCCGCGGGGCCCGTAGCATTTGCTACTCTTGCTACGTGGCTAATCCGGCACTGACGGAAAGTACTGTATTTTCTAAATGTAGAATAAAATTGACATTTGACAGTTTTCAGTTATTAATCTAATATTTAAAAATAAGTAATTGTAATATTAGTTAGTTGGACTAATTTTCTTTTTCATTATTCCACAGCGCAACGGCTCCCTAGAATTCGACGGCTCATTCAACATCAATACTGGAGCCAGTGACTTCTCCCAGCTTGGCAACGTGCAGGAGTGGAGATACGCCAATAGGACGGACTACAGGGACGAATGTGGGGAAGTGAAGGGGTCTACAGGAGAGCTCTGGGCGCCAGAATATGGGCAGCCAGAGGTGAATGTGTTCGCTTCTGATATTTGCACGTGAGTGGAACATATTTTATTATTTTTTAATAATAAAGATGGCTGTCTTGTTTGACTGTCGAGCAAGGAGTACTAATTCCCAAGTTCATTCAAGTGGTTTTAAGTTTGAACTCTCTATCTCTCTCTAAGTTTTTATTTCAAAAATATGTATTTATAAAAACATATATACATACATAACTTCACGCCTGTCTTCCATAGGGGTAGGCAGAGACTGTGGAAAGCAAATGGCTACGATTACCCACCTCTTTCGCTTCATCAACAGTCATCAATATTTTCATGCATGCTCGTCGGTTTAGGGTACTTTTAATTTGGCCCTTCTTTAATATATCAGCAATCTGGTCAATATATATGTCCGTCTAGGGCGCCCTCTACCGACGGCCCCATACATATCCGCTCTGTATACTTCTTTCGTTACTCTACTTTCATCCATCCTTTCTACATGTCCAAACCAGCGTAACATTCCTTTTACAATCTTTGTAATTAATAAAAATATGTCCACCACAATACATGTTCTGGTCTCCTTGAAATAAATGAATTGTGCGTGTTAATGCAATAACGATTACCTAATCAATGAAACTTATTAATCCATTCAAGAACAAATTGCTGAACGAAAATAATCAACGATTACCCGAATAAACATGTACCTAATTATCCTCATACATTCCTCTAAGAACTGATATTGGAATTTCGCCATTTTCTCAACGAGATAAGGATGCAAAATGCACATCACCTCATACAATCGGATATAGAGTAGAGCGTATATGCATGTTATTGTATGTAGATTTGCCACCGTATGAGATTTGATAAGAATATTTGTTTCTTTTGTTTTTCCAATATCAAAACAATACAATCATTTCATTATTAGTTAAGGCTTTGTCTTAAGTATATATATTTTTAAAACAAATTCAGTGCCAAAATCAAAGGCTTTTACTTGTTTTAGAATCGAATTGTTAGTAAGAATCATTTAAATATTATTTTCGGATTCTCAATATTTCGTTCTCAAATTTAATGTTATGGGATAAGCCGGCAAACGACCATACCGATCACCTGATGGTAAGCAATCGACGCCGCCCATGGACAACTGGAACACCAAAAGCGTTACAAGTGCGTTACCGGCCTTTTCGGGATTAGGAGTTTGAGGTTTGTTGGGGTTTCGGGGATTGGGGAGATTGGGGAAGGGGGGAGGGTACTGGGCCTCCGGTAATCTCATTCACACGACGAAACACAACGCAAGCGTTGGTTCACGTCGGTTTTCTGTGAGGCCGTGGTATCACTCCGGTCGAGCCGGCCCATTCGTACCGAAGCATGGCTCCCAGCACTTAAAATATCTATTATCACTACATAGTATAAAACAAAGTCGGTATCCGCTGTCTGTCTGTCCCTATGTATGATTAGATCTTTTAAACTAAGCAACGGATTTTGATGCGGTTTTCTTAATAGATAGAGTGATTCTTAAGGAAGGTTCATTTGTATAATACATGCATATTGCACCCGTGCGAAGCCGGGGCGGGTCGCTAGTATTATTCTAAAATTGAACTTGAAAAAGTAAAGAAGATAGATTGACCACTATCTAACTATTACTTAGATAAGTGACGCTACTTATATGCACAACTTAAAAAAAACACATACCTAATATGTATACAGCAATACGCGTATACTACGACAATACATTACCGAATAGTGCTAGAGGCAGTACCGTTAAAATTCTACTCATTTCCAAAAACCAGTCGTAACGATGCGTGGCCTACATTATGGGGTCAATGACCTTACACATGCTTGAGATACAAACAAGTGACATAGCTTAAAATATAATGTTTAAACTGTCAAACACCGAGCGGTCACCGGTGACCGCAACCTATTGTTCTATAATTGTGTCTATAATGACGGTACTCGACGAGTTAATATAAGATGTATGATACTAGTATATATAAATGACTAGCGACCCGCCCCGGCTTCGCACGGGTGCAATATGCATGTATTATATACTATACATATAAACCTTCCTTAAGAATCACTCTATCTATTAAAAAAACCGCATCAAAATCCGTTGCGTAGTTTTCAAGATCTAAGCATACATAGGGATAGACAGACGGTGGATAGCGACTTTGTTTTACACTATGTAGATATTGATAATTAACACACATACTTTTTGCACATTATAATGTGCAAAAAGTATGTGTGTTATTTGCATAAACAAAAAACTAAAATAAATAGAAAACAATATATTTGTTATAGAGGAAGGCAGAGGTGCATAATATATCTTACATGTGACTCTAGTTATACCAAGTTATACTATAAGTCCCATATACCTGAGATGAGTGGATTGTTATAAATCTGGCATAGTATCTAACTTTTATGTGGCAATTTCAAAAATAACGTAACATAACATCACGCCTTTTATCCTCAAAGGGGTAGGCAGAGGTGCACATTATGCCACTGTACAATGTAACACCCACTTTTCACTATTTATGTTATGAGTCCCATGTAATAGGGGGTGAGCCTATTGCCATATACCGGGCATAGTTCCAGACTCCGTGCCACTACTGAGATTTTTTTTAAATCCCAGTATAATTTTGTCCTACCCGAGATGGAACGCGAGATCCCTTGCCCAGCAGTCGCACTTGCGACCACTCAACAACACATTAAAACTACTTTGAAATAGGTTCTAATAACTACTCCTTGCCAAAGATACTTAAAATTAAAAAGGAAAAAAAGGAAATAAGTGTAACTTATCATCTAGAACCTAATGTTTATATTTACATCACAATATTTAACTACGTTTATTTAATACCAGGCGTCATGATAAAAGTTCATCATCTTCTTACTTTGTCGTTAATCGAGTTTGTTTATATTAACGTCAGCGATACAAAAAAGTAGGTCTTTGACATCTCTTCTTCTTTATAAATCGGTTCTTGTACTAATTAGTTTACTACTAGTTGTAGTTATATGTTTTCTGAAATTAATTGATTTTTTTTATACCACGACGGTGGCAAAAAAGCACACGGCCCACCTAATGGTAAGCGGTTACCGTGGCCTATGTACGCCTGCAACACTTGGGGCATTACATGCGTCTTGCCGACCCTTAAGAAACCTATTCACTGCGCTCTTGAAGAACTTCATGTTGTAACTGGGAAAACCACTGATGCTCTCGATTTAAAATCCTATCGAGCAGTTTTTGTTAATTTTCCTCCGGTAACCTCACTCATCACAGCTGAACATTGTAATACTCCAGTTTTCTGTGAGGCCATGGGATTCTGTGAGCACTTTCCCTATACTTCCCTATACTTGTAACTGCCTCGTTGGCCGAGTGGTCGCAAGTGCGACGGCCGGGCAAGGCGTCTCGGGTTCAATTCCCGGGTCGAGCAAAGTATTGCTAGGGCTTTTAAAAATTCTCAGCACGGAGTTTGGAATTGTGCCCGGTATATGGCAATAGGCTTACCCGTTATTACATGAGACTCGTAACATACATGAAAAGTGGGTGTTACATTGTACAGTGGCATTAAATGCCGTAATGTGCACCTCTGCCTACCCCTTCGGGGATAGAAGGCATGATGTAAAAGGCGTGATGTTATATATATATATAAATATATGTATGTACATACATACATACATAACTTCACGCCTGTCTCCCATGGGGGTAGGCAGAGACTAAGGAACGCCAATTACTACGATTCTTACATACCTCTTTCGCTTCATTAACAGTCATCAATCGTTTCATGCATGCTCGTCGGTTAAGGGTACTTTTAATTTGGCCCTTCTTTAATATATCGCCAATCTGGTCACTATATGTCCGTCTAGGCCGCCCTCTACCGACGGCCCCATTCATATCCGCTCTGTATACTTCTTTCGTTACTCTACTTTCATCCATCCTTTCTACATGTCCAAACCAGCGTAACATTCCCTTTTCAATCCTTGTCACTACATCATCTTTCAATCCACACCTTCCTCTAATAACACTATTTTTCACTCGATCACTCAATTTTAGTCCACACATACTTCTTAGGGCTCTCATTTCCACCGCATTAATCCTGCTTTCATGCTTCTTCTGCCACACCCATGATTCACTACCATACATAAGCGTTGGTGTCAATACACACTGCATTACAGCAAGTCGAGCTTTGCTGGATATTATTTTACATGTATGTATGTATGTATTACGCCATTTTCCTGTAAAGCCGTGGTATCACTCCGGTTGGCCCGGCTTATTCCATGTGAAGCACTTTCTCTATAATAAACTACATCAATACATTCCTGTTTCCAGGTACCTGACCCTGGGTAAAGACCGGGATGTGCAAGTAGAAGGGATAGATGGAGTGCAGTATGCAGCCAATGACTCAGTGTTCGACAACGGATACAAATATCCGAGGATGGTACGTATATTTTATATATGATTGTGTTATTCACAAGTGATAAGAGATCTTTATTTAGCACTGAGAGTACAATCAACTATCAATTTTTGTATATGGTACGTGTTTATACGAGTTTACAAACAAAGCAAATGATACAAGTGAATTTCGATCTTACAGCCTTTTGACTCTTCAGTAATCTGCTCACGTTATAATATCGAGGGGTAACGGACTATTTGGTTTAAGCGACATTTTGAAGCGAATTTTTCTCCGTCGAATATATATAATAACTCAATATCGCCCAAAATGTCGCTTAAACCAAATAGCCCGTTACCCCTCGATATGTACTTAAAAATCACGATGAAAAATATCCTTTGTTCTTATAAGCCCCCAGAATAGGGTAGTTTCCTAAATTTTATTTTAATGTCCGTCTGGTACAATTTAAAACTTTAGACACGTATTTTTTCTTTTCTCACAAAATTAAATACTTTCGACGATATATTAATTTGAAATATCGTGTGACGTCACAGCGTGCCACATTTTGTAGCACGTTATGACGTAACGACCTCCCACTCCTAAACTTAGCGCCACTTTATTTAAGTATTGCGACTTAATACGAGAAAATAAATAACAAACGTGTCTAATATTTTTTAATAATCTAACTGACGGACTAATTAGATTTTTTTAACGTTAATTACAACGTGTCGCGGGTTCGATTCCCGCACGCAACAACACTTTGTTATCCACAAATAGTTGTTCCGGGTCTGGATGTCATGTGTATGTGAACTTGTATGTTTGTAAACGCAACCACGACACAGGAGAAAATCCTAGTGTTAGGCAACGTTTTTTTTAAAAAAAATAAAGAATAAAATAAAATTGTACATTCCCTCATCAATACATAGTATAAAACAAAGTCGCTTTCGCTGTATGTCCGTATGTATGCTTAGATCTTTAAAACTACGCAACGGATTTTGATGCGGTTTTTTTTAATAGATAGAGTGATTCTTAAGGAAGGTTTATATCATGCATATTGCACCCGTGCGAAGCCGGGGCGGGTCGCTAGTACAAGATAAACTAGTCGAAACTTTACATAATATGAATATGAACACAAAGTATTTAAACTAAGGCAAGTCGCTTCGCCCCTCTGTGCCCTGGTTCCCTGGGCAGTTTGCCTTAGGTATAATACGGCTCTAACCCAATACGCCGCGACGTAGTAAACTTCAAATACAAACAAATAGAAAACAAGAAGGTAACTGCACTGTACCTGTACGTAACTGTTTGATGAGGAACTCGACTAGTTTTAAGCCATGATTTTTTTTAAGGGGGAAAATCATCGAATGACTGCTTCCGCCTGGGTGAGGCGGGAGGGAGTGTCAGACTCTTACTGACTAAAAACCACCCCATTCCTACTCTTGGACTTCTAGCTGGAGCCCCGGTAACACGTTAGGTTCTCCCCGACTCCGTATCGGCATCAGCCCTATTGGGCCCCATCCGTGGTGGTCTGATGGCTCTTTGAGGCGCGCGCGGAACGCTCGGTGCCGTACGCACGGGTCTTTTTTTTTAAATGCATTGACTGCTTTAGTATCTTAAGCGCAAACAGCAGCGCATGCGCATTGCATTCACGTGACTTAGCTTTGTTTATTTATATTTACCTTTATAAAGATCTTAATCATATATGTATGATATAATTGTAATTATACCGTTTGTATTTTATTTCGTACCTACTTGCATATAATTAGCATTATTTGAAGACTCGTATGAAGATTTTTAAAATGTATGTTTTTATTGTTTATTTTTTATGTTTTAAATACCTATATTATTGTTATGTAGGTTACGGTATTATTTAACGGTACCTAAAAGGTGTTAGGTATTTTGTAAGGTTATTTGTTCACTCAATAGTATCTACTTTTTATTTTTATTCATAGCATAACTTGCATTAATTGTGGTTTTAAATATTAATTTGCATTTTTTGTGGTATACGCCGTTAAACAAGCAGACGGATTACCTGATGGTAAGCAATCGGCGTCGCCCATGGACACACGGAATACAAGTGCGTTACCGGTCTTTTGGCGATTAGGAATTTGAGGATTGTGGAGAATGGGGAAGGAGGTAATTGGACCTCCGGTAATCTAACTCACAAGCTTTGTTCACGTTGGTTTTCTGTGAGGTTGAAATAAGTCACCAAATAGATATTAACGGCTTAGATAGATTGTACAGAGTGCTACTTACTACAATTCTTGTTCTCTCTCCCCTCTCTCTGTATCTCTTTGATTAAGATTTTTATTAATATAATGTGTGTAATGATAAGGAATTGACGCCACTTATGGGCGTAAGATCAGAGGAATTGCGAGTGCCTTGCCGATCTTTTAGGCCTAAAATAACCTCAATAATACAGCGAAACAGAACACAGATTATTATAATCTAAATGCCAATGGTTTTCTATTTTTCCAGGCATGTTACTGTGACGTAGTGCGGGACGAGGAGTGCCTGCCGGCCGGAGCCCTGAACGTGTCGGACTGTCGGTTCGGAGCCCCGGCCTTCGTGTCACTGCCTCACTTCCTACACGCCGACCCTATCTATGCCAGCAAAATTGATGGGTTGAATGCTACTGAGTGAGTATTGAATTATTTTAGAAAATCTTTTTAATTAATAAAGAAAAGTAATTAGTATTTTGGTTGTCTAGTGGTTGTCAGTTAGGCAATGTTTTTTTTATGGAATAGGAGTGCTGTCAGTTTTGCTGTGCGAGGCAGAAAGCTACGTGAGAAGCGCTCAGTGGTGGTCTGCCAACCATCTATATGGTGGGGATGTATATGCTGTCGTGAGGGTCGATGGTGTTAAATTATGTATTTCAATTAGACCAAAGAGCCGTGTTTAATAAGCTAATAAAAAAGTAAAAACCTCTGCTTTGGCCATCGGTCCAAAGTTGAATAATGAACAAGAAACCTCAAAGTAATACTTCCACAGTCAATTAAAAAAAAAATACTTAAAATATTGCATACATTATACATTAAGATAAAAATAGCAACATCAAATATTTTCAATTTAACCAAAAGCAATACTTATTCCTAAGACCATAACGTGTGTTATTGCAGAGACATGAACTTCAGACTAGCGCTGGAGATGTTCACCGGCATGCCCCTGTCTGTAGCCGCGCAGTTACAGATCAACTTGCTTGTACGGAGAGTTAGTGGCATCACGTGAGTATTATTCAAGTTTTCTTGTCAGTTTTGTGTATGTGGCAAAAGCGCTCCTTTTTGTATAATAACTACTAACTACATTTTAAGTGTGGGAGAGCCATGCTCCGGCACGAATGGGCCGGCTTGACCGGAGTGATACCACGGCCTCACTGAAAATCGACGTGAAGCAACGCTTGCGTTGTGTTTCGTCGTGTGCGTGAGGTTACCGGAGGCCCAGTTCCCTCCCCCCTTCCCCAATCTCCCCAATCCTCGAATTACCAACAAACCTCAAACTCCTAATCCCCAAAAGGCCGGTAACGCACTTGTAACGCTTCTGGTGTTCCAGTTGTCCATGGGCGACGCTTACCACCAGGTGATCCGTCTGCTCGTTTACGGCATATGCCAAAAAAGAAAAACACTAAATTAATTGATATGTACGGTTCAGTTATCGATGAAGCTCGAGTTATTTCAAGCCTCATCGGGGCTAAAAACCACCCTGTTTCTACTCCTGGTCCAAGCCAGAGTCGCCGTTTAATTGCATTCTACGTTTTTTCGTAGCCCCTGACGTGCCTATCCTTTTGGTAATTAAACTGACGGTTCACGAACATTCGCAGTATAAACAACGCGTTGCCGGACCCGGACACGATGGTGCCGATGTTCAGGTTCCGGCAGGAGACGGCCGTGACGCCGGAGTACGCCGCCATGGCTCGCTCCGCGCTGCGTCTGCGCTACTGGGTGCCGTACGGGCTCTACGGACTCACTGTAAGTACTATTTGTCATTTTATGTTTATTAAGAGCCTATAAGTGCCCACTGCTGAGCAAAGCCTCTTCTCATACGGAGAAGTCTTGAGCATTAATCACCACGCTTGCTTAATGCGGGTTGGCGATTCCAAACTTAGAATTAGAAATTATAAGTCCAGGTTTCCTCACGATGTTTGCATTCACCGTTTGTCAGTGGTGTCTAGATAATCTTAGAAAGTACATATAACTCGGAAATAGTCACATTGGTACTTGCCGTTGGTAGGTTTGAACCCGCAACCTCATACACGAGAAGCGGGCATGTTAACCTTCGGGCCACGAAGCTTACCATTAAGTGATACTTCTGCTCGTTTACCGGTTATACCATAAAAAAATGGGTCCGCCGTTTTTACAACGTCCTTGTTAAAACCAGCCCATCATCTTTTCTTTATCTTTATATATGTAATTCTTCTGTGAGTGTGTAAGTCACTGAACTTCTCTCAAACGACTGGACCGATTTTGATGAAATTTTTGTGTGTGTTCAAGGGGATCTGGGAATGGTTCAGATTCACAAATCAGCCCGGCAGATGACGCTGCAGTCGATTTCTAGGTTATTTATCTATACCCATCATTACAGGACAACGTCTGCCGGGTCCACTAGTGTATCTATAAAACACAAATTCACTTCAGCATTCCATTGAACTCCTGTGTCTTTGTTTCCAGGCAATCGGAGTAGCGCTACTAGTAGGAGGTATCATTGTATTAGTAAGAAAACTAATGAAATCCCCCGACACTGCGCCGCTCATAACCCCAGAGAGTTCACGCCCCACTGAAAGTCTAGAATCCTAGTGACACACAAACAGACAATAACTGATAGTGAATGTATGAAGTAAGTGAAACTAGTGATTATTTTGTACGGACTGAAAGTCGCATGATTTTATATGTATGTTTGTAGAAAATCTCACCTCGATACGGATTTTTAGAGAAATGATGTCGTCATACTAAAATGTTCTTAGTGGCTCTAACTCGATGACAGCGCCATCTATGTGAGCTTATTGTTCTTGATTTTTGTATGTAAAACAAATGAATAGAATAACTTTTATCTGTTTTGGCTTGCAGTGCCATTTAAGAGTCGATTCTGAAAAATCGATTCGAAATTCAATCGAAAAAAAAATGGAATCGATTATTAAAAACCTCCTCTTTTTACGAAGTAGGTAAATATAATAATAATAATAAGGCAAATATTGCTTAAAAATGACTTAACCATAATAATTTAAGCTTTAAACTAGAATTATGAGCTTCCTAACATCTTGTACTGCCATAAAAAAGTTCCAGATGCATACAGGGTGTGCAAAACTGAAATTATTTAAACACTATAATTTTGACACTCTCAGAGCTAACTCGTATTTTTTGTATGTAAGTGCCTTGAAATGCTGAAAGCTGTAATTTTTCTTGTAAACTATAAATGTATTGTAAATAAAAAACGGCTGTAAGTAAATAAAACTGTTTTAGTAACACGCTGTATATGTGCTATGTATTCTTCCAGTTTAGTTTATATTGTACTTAGTTTTTATATGGTATATTGTTTGTATTAAAATAAAAAGGGTTTTTTATACATTGTAAATATAAAAATGTAAAATGAAATGAAATTTCTTGTGTACCTACTAAAATAAATCACGTCGATCGTTTTTTTATACAGTTAAATGAATTAAGTAAAATCGCGGGTTACTCACGTGAATATACTGAGAAAAGCTCTACTAGTTTCGAACCACAGAGGGGCGACGTCGCGCATCTCACTGAGCACACAGTGAGCTGCGCGACGTCGCCGCGACCGCGCACGCTGCTCATGAGGAAGAACCCCTCTGTGGTTCGAAACTAGTAGAGCTTTTCTCAGTATATTCACGTGAGTAACATGCGATTTTACTTAATGTTAAATGAAATTATGTTTGGTGGTAGCAAAGCTGCCTATTAACTAAGAAGTGCTGTTTGATTCCTGAGTCAGACAAAGTTTGTAGTGACGAGTCTATATTGCTTTGAGCATAGTCACAGACTCACAATATTAAGATAGGAATGGGAGTCCCACTGCAGGGGCACAGGCCTCCCTACCCTCCTTCCTCTCGTCTCTTAAAGCTTTGTGTGGCCAATTCTTTTCATAGGCGTCAAGTTTATCCCGCCATCTTCTTCATCATCTTCTCCTGTAGTGGGACGACCATGGCTAAAAAAATATGGCAGTAAGTCTTATACTTCTGCTTATCCTTTCGACTATAAACCAACTATTACGTTATTTATTTTCAATACACTGATATGCCAATAAATCTACCTGATATAATTTTTATGTTTATTATAAGTAGAATTTTTTTATTTGCTGGCAATACATCAAAATCAAAGTATGGGGTTGCATGTTAATAAAAGTGAGACTGTGTTGCGAAAAAAATAATTAAGATAATTATACCTAATTCGTAAGCTATGTTCTTATTTTGTGTATTATTTAATATAATTAAAAATACTTTGTATCTAAATATATATTGTGTAACAATATTATGTACTTACTTATTTACTGTGTATTTATGTATTTTATAATCTATACATATACTGTTATTAAAGTTTTGTATGTTTATATTTGTAAAATAAATATTTAACACATTTAAGTTGAATGGAACTGTATTTTTTAATCTTTTCGACCCTAATCATAATCTTAAACCTGAAAGTGACCCGAGCGTATGGCGTGTCGCGTACGCTCGGGTACAGATGGGGCCCAATAGGGCCGATGCCGATTCGGAGTCGCGGAGAACCTAACGGGTAACCGGGGCTCCGGCTCGACGTGCAGGAGAAGGAACGGGGTGGTTTTTAGTCAGTAAGAGTCTGACACTCCCTCCCGCCTCACCCAGGGAGCAGTCATTCGATAATTTTCCCCTTTAAAAAAAATAAAACATCGGAAATATGAATATCTATACTGTAAAGTTAGTGGAGAGCGGTCTGCTTGGGGATTTAGGGGTAAGTCGAAAACGTAATAATGTAGTATGTCTCATGAAAGTTTTGATATAAAGAAATATAATAATGTGTTTGTTTACAAATGTTATTTTATTTATGTAATGTATTCAGGCTAGTCCAGTATTCTAAAGTAATATTACTCCTTACCTCACTTACTAAAAAGCAGGGTAAACAAGTCAAATTACGTTACCAACTTTACTTATAGTAACGGTTGGCGCGGTGGTTGGTTCGGGGGTCCAATTCCCGCACGGACCAACTCTTTGTGTGAACAACAAATTGTTGTTCCGGGTCTGGGTGTCATTGTGTATGTGAACTTGTATGTTTGTAAACGCACCCACGACACAGGAGACAATCCTAGTGTGGGGCAACGGTTTTTTTTTAAGTGAAATCATGGTTATATCTTTAAATAAATAATATGAACTATTGACTAAAAATCGTGGGTTACTCACGTGAATGTACTGAGAAAAGTTCTACTAGTTTGGTCATGATGGCGTGGGCCGGTCGCGGAGATATCGCGCAGTCTACACGTATCAGTATATTCACGTGGGTAACCCGCGATTTTTAGTTGCTTTAGTATGTCTCACGATAGTTATTAATATGAACTATTGTGTTTTTTTGTAATTCCATATGTTCTTTTTTATTTACCTTATTTGTAAGTAATATGATGTATTTAAGTAGATTGTCTTATGGAACTCAGTAATACTGGGTTCCATGGGAGTCTGGAATTGTGTCCGGTATATGGTTATAGGCTCACCCCCTATTACCTGGGACTCATAGCATAAATATTGAAAAATGGGTGTGACATTGTACAGTGGCACTAAGTCCCGCAATGTGCACCTCTGCCTTCCCTTTCGGGGATAAAAAGGCGTGATGTAATGTTATGCCTTATGGAACCCTGTGAATTAGTTTCTGTCTTTTGCTTTTCAAAGGTCCGGAAAATAATAATGTAATCAATTATCATATTATCGGCTTATTTACTCGTAACTGTTTGACGTGTAACTCGGACCGGCACCGCCGCAGCGTCGAGCAAACAGTAGCAGCGACAGTCGCCGCGTCGCGGGTCGCGGAATGCTCCTCATGAATATAAGCCTCTATCATGGCTTGAAACTAGTCGAGTTCCTCGTCTAACAGTTACGTGAGTAAGCCGAAAAGTAATATTATGTCTCACAAAAGTTTTAAAGTAGAAAATGTAATCAATGTATGTAATAAAAATTTCGACTGCACGGTTGGTGCGGTGGCTGGGCAACCGGCTGCCGTGCAACGTGTCGCGGGTTCGATTCCCGCACGGAACAATACTTTATGTGACCCACAATTTATTGTTCCGGGTCTGGGTGTCATGTGTATGTGAACTTGTATGTTTGTAAACGCACCCACGACACAGGAGAAAATCCTAATGTGGAGCAACGTTTTATATTAAAAAGAAAAAAGAAAAAAAATAATGTTTGTTATATCGAAATTGTTAACATTTTTGTACATTTTTATAATAATACTGAATGAGTTCGGATGAAATGTTTGAATTAGACTTTTAATATAATTAATAAGTGATATTTTTACATTTATAGATAATAAATAAAATAAGCGATTTATGCGTAACTTAGGTACAGACAGACAACAATAATCTATATTACCTAGGTACACTTTGTTAAACTGTTATCTCCTAATTAATTAATGAACAAAATGCCGTTGAAACTTTTAAACATTTTAATAAACGTTTTTAAAAAAAAATATTTAAGTGGTTTTTTTTCTTTTCAATTCCTTTTCATACGACTTTTCTATTCTCAGTTAAGCGAAGTATCATGAGGTAATTTTCAGTACTAGCATCGTGTTCGGTGCACGGTTCGCCTCCTAATACTACTTAGGTAGAATGATAAAAATGATCTTCATATTAAACATACACATTTGATTATGTCAACAATGCTTTCATTTTGTATTATAAATAAATATTTTTATATAAAAATTCATTTTTTTAATGGGGCAAGCACGCCACATCCTCCCAAAACCGCTGCAACTCCTGTGAGCCAGGATCTACAGTAGGCACAACCATGAAAACACCAGAACACTAAAGTCTACTGCGTCTCAAGGACATGAGTAACTGTCTTAGGTCCCGCAACGAAGTGAATCAGAAGATATAATAAGAGGAGAAGAAAAGCGATAGTTTGCAGTTCCTTTGTTGAATTAGGGTTCATTATATTTAATTTGCAAAACTAAGATACCTAATCCCACACAATAAAAATCGCAAAGAGCTGCTAGATGCAGGTCGCTTCCAGCGGCTCCCGGTGAAAGTCATTGCGGGAGACCTTTCAGCGGTGGGCGTCTTGTGGCTCATGTAATGGTGAAAAACTGCATTCTTCGGATACCTGTAGCTATTTCTATCCCGAGCGTACGGCGCGTCGCGTTCCGCGTGCGCCTCAAAGAGCCATCAGACCACCACAGATGGGGCCCAATAGGGCCGATGCCGATTCGAAGTCGCGGAGAACCTAACGGGTAACCGGGGCTCCGACTCGACGTGCAGGTGAAGGAACGAGGTGGTTTTTAGTCAGTAAGAGTCTGACACTCCCTCCCGCCTCGCCCAGGCGGGAGCAGTCGTTCGATGATTTTCCCCCCTTAAAAAAAAAGCTATTTCTATAGTAAATTATCTATCTCTAGATTAGTGCAATGGCGCCTCAGATTTATATCAAAGTATATCAATTATCGGAACATGCAATATCGGGCGAGTCTTTATCACACGAACAAATTGCGAATGTTCGTATTATCTTTGCGATAACTTTGATAACCTTAATAAGGTTTAATTGATAGTCAATCTGAGTTGCTTATATTATATTATATTAATATTAAACTATTTTTATAATTATTATGACACGTTCTATATTAATAAACTCATGTCAACTATCGGACGAAAACTCTATTCGCTGTTCATGAGAGTCCCGATTTGACTTGAAACTAATCGAGTTTTTCTATTGAGTTCACGTAAGTAAGCCGTATATGTCAATTAATATTAAACCTTGTCTAAATAAACGTTGATAGAATTACAATTTAGGTTCAAACTATGTTTAATAAAAAGTTCAATTTATTAAGAAGGTATCTACATAGGTACTTATGGGCTGCCTCGTTGAAAAAACAAACTAATGAAATATTTAATCAATTAGACATATAATGATCCCACACCAAATCAAAACAAAAAAAAAACAAATTGACTTACTTATGAACAATGTGACTGATAATAAAATAATAATAATACCCACGCTACGTACTCCTATGTATTACTAATAAAGATAAATAAATAAATTGGTTTATAATAATATTATCAATAAGGATAAGACGAAAGAGAGTTTAAAGTCCTATAATCTGCTTTATTCCGTATTAACTTGGGCATAACAATATTATTTAGAGGTAGGAGAAATATTATTTTAAGTACTGATGTACTTCATCGGTACTTTAAGGACAATTTTTATTGTTTTTAACCTACTTAAAAAAGTCATAAAGGAGATTCTCAGTTGAACCTGTTTGTATGTAAGTATGTGTATAAGTCAGTAAAATGATAAATATGTGAATAAAGAAGAGAAGTAATAATAATATGTTTTTTTTTAAGGGGGGGAAAATCATCGAATGGCTTCTTCCACCTGGGTGAGGCGGGAGGAAGTGTCAGACTCTTACTGACTAAAAACCACCCCGTT